ACTTCTCCAGGAAGTTTTCCACCACCCAGCAGAAGTACGGCGTAGGGGATCGCGAGCTGCTGGCCATAAAATGGGCATTGGAGGACTGGAGGCAGTGGCTTCTGGGCACCACTCAGCCATTCACCATCTGGACTGACCACCAGAACCTAACCCACATCCGGTCCGCCATGCAGCTAAATCCTCGCCAGGCTCGCTGGGCCCTCTTCTTCGAACCCTACGAGTTCCATCTCGCCTATCACCCCGGGACTAAAAACCAGAAGGCGGACGCCCTCTCCCGCCAGTTCACACATTCAGCGCCCCCGTCCGAGCCGGCGCCCATCCTCCCGGAGCACCGTTTCGTGGCCCACCTTGGGTGGCCGTTGGAGGAGGCCATCCAAAACGCCCTCCGGGATGACCCAGTGCCGCCAGAGACCCCCGCCGGTCGGCTCTACGTCCCCGCGGCCCGTCGCAGTGAGGCGTTGGCCTGGGCCCACTCATCACGCCTGTCTGGTCACACGGGCTTCTCTCGGACTCTCAAGTTCTTGAAACGGGCTCTCTGGTGGCCACGTATGGAGAGGGACGTTAAGGAATTCACGAGCGCCTGTGACGTCTGCGCCCGCTCTAAGGCATCCACCCAGGCTCCGGTTGGCACCCTCAGACCTCTTCCGGTGCCCAGCCGCCCCTGATCCCATGTGGGGCGTGACTTTGTCACAGGTCTCCCGCCGGTCAACAACCTCGACACCATCCTAACGGTCACTGACCGGTTTTCCAAAGCTGTTCACTTCTCACTTCATAGCCCTCCCGGGCCTTCCCTCGGCCCGACGCAAGGCATAACTGTTTCTGGAGAATGTGGTGCGTCTCCACGGGTTCCCGGTCGACGTGGTCTCAGATTGTGGTCCCCAGTTCACGGCCCGTTTCTCGAAAGCCTTCTGCCATCTAGTGGGAGCTTCTGTCAGCCTGTATTCGGGCTACCACCCACGGACCAACGGTCAATCAGAGCGGGCGAACCAACAGTTGGGCCAGTACCTCTGCTGCTTTGTCTCGGCCCAGCCCTCGCAGTGGCCTAAGTACCTCCTCTGGGCGGAGCTGTCTCATAATCTCCACACCTCCTCGGCCACTCAGATGTCCCCTTTCGAGGTCTGCTATGGCTACCAGCCCCCAGTCTTCGCCCACCAAGAACCCGAAGTCGCGGTGCCAGCCGCTCAATCCCTGGTGAGACACTGCAAGAACGCATGGATCAAGGCGCGGGCCTCCATTACCCGGGCCAACGACCGTTACTCACACCAACACCTCCGCAGGTACCGCCCGGGTCCCTCCTATGCTCCAGGGGACAAGGTCTGGTTGTCCACGGCAGGCCTCCGGGTCCGCGCCGGTTCCAGGAAGCTCACTCCCCGGTTCCTCGGGCCCTACCCCGTGCAGGAGGTCATCAACCCGGTCACGTACCTGCTGCGGCTGCCTACAAGCCTTCGCGTCCATCCTACCTTCCACACCTCCCGGCTCAAGCCTTACGTGGAATCCCCCCTCCTGCCACCTCAGGCTCCAGCACCTTTGCCGGCCCGCTTCCTCAATGGTGAGCCCATCTACACAGTCCGGCGCATTCTGGACGCTCGCCGCCGGGGTCGGGGCTGGCAGTACCTCGTAGATTGGGCGGACTACGGCCCCGAGGAACGCTCCTGGGAGCCGGCCCACTCCATCTTGGACCCTGCCCTCATCTCGGACTTCTGGGCCCACCGAGGTGGCCCCGGGACTTCTGGAGCCGTCCCTGGACCGGGGGGTCCTGTCAGAGTCCAAGCCCCCAAGCCGGGCTCTCCCAGCTGACCGGCTTCCGTCTTGGACCACATTACCCAGCATGCCCCTCGCGGGGATTCCCTCCACGTTGCACCTGCGTCAATCCATGTCTATATATGGAAGACGCCACACCGGCTCTTCACTCAGTCATCGTTCCACCGTGATCCACGATCAGAGTATTCCAAAGCTACTACTGCTAAACCTCCACCTTTCCTCCTCAGACCTCATCCGTCAGCCTTTCCAGCACCGCTTTCAGCCAACCGTCTGTGTAATAAAAGCTCTTACTCCCGAACCCAGTCTTCGAGTCTGACAAATAGTCAAGAAAGTTATTAATAGTGTCGCAAATCCACTGACCCATATCTGTAATCTCTCATTTTCATCTGGTGTATTCCCACGAAAAATGAAAATAGCTAAAGTCATACCATTATTTAAAGCAGGAGACAAACAACTTTTTACAAACTACAGGCCTGTGTCATTATTGTGCCAGTTCTCGAAAATACTCGAAAAATTTATTTAATAACAGGCTAGAAGAATTTATTGAACAATTTAATTTGCTGTCAGAAAGCCAGTATGGCTTCAGGAAAAATAGATCATCTGCTGTAGCATTAATGGAATTAATAGAAGAAGTCACAAATTGCATGGATAAAAACAAACATGTTTTGGCGGTTTTATTGATCTCAGAATAGCATTTGATACTATAGACCATGACATACTATTTATGAAAATGGAAAGATATGGCATTAGAGGGGTGGTTTTGGATTGGTTAAAAAGTTATATGGGAAATAGACAACAGTTTGTTCAAATGGGAGATGTCATGTCCAACTGTCTTGACATAACTGTTGGTGTACCACAAGGGTCAGTACTGGGCCCTAAGTTATTTGTTATGTATATAAATGACTTAGTTATGGTTTCAAAAAAAATTAAAATTTGTTTTGTTTGCAGAAGACACCAATGCTCTTTGTTCTGGGGAAAATATACAGCAATTATTGGAAGAAGTGAGGACTGAAATGAGTAACCCCTGCTTTCCACAGGAGCCGTCAGCAGCACGTTACTGCAGCAGCACGTCATAGCTGCTGATAGGAACCGCTGTGGTCAACAGAACCTTTTCCACTGGAGCCGTCAGCAGCCGTCAGCAGCGCGAGTCGGCCGCGTCTCAGGAGCAGCATGTCGCGGCCTTTACGCGCCGGTTCTATTTTCTACGCGCGACGCCTCTGAAACGGGTCAGGTTCGACATTTTTGGGGAAGGAAAGACAGGAAATCGGACGCGGAAATGGAGAGAAGCTCCCAAGATTTTCAGAATAAAGAAATGTACTGCCTTCCGGTTGCTTTACTTTTAGAAAAAGTTACTAAATGTGCGGCCCCGTGAGAAGTTATCACCTAGCTAGTGGTCTCCTTTGTTTTTCAGGTCCGTAATGGCGATTATAAAACGGACAGAACATAAAACACAAACCTTTTGGAGCCATGTTGTAGTTTTCTCCTGCTTGTTGTTGTGTTTACTGACGAAGTCACTCGTGTGACTTCATGCTCGGTCGGTGACAGCTGCTCCCCTGCTGCTTCGCGTCTCGTGGGAAGGGCCAAGTAGCAGTTTACGCAAGCAAGACGTGCTGCTGCAGTAACGTGCTGCTGACGGCTGTGGTGGAAAGCAGGGGTAAGTTGAAAGAATGGTTCAGCTTGAACAAATTATCATTAAACTTGGACAAGACCAAAGACATCTTGTTTGGAAATCGAAGAGTGGACTCTGAGATAAAACTGATGTTAGAAAATGTAAGAATGAGAGAGTTTATGAAACAAAATTTCTGGGGGTTATCCTAGACCATAATATTAGCTGTAAACCACAAATTAAATAAATACAAACAAAACTGGCAAAGAGCATTGGTGCTTTGGGTAAAATAAAACATTTACTGAATCAAGAATCATTGTATATTCTGTTTTCATCACTGGTAATGCCATACTTGAATTACTGTGTGGACGTTTGGGGAAACACATACTATCCATACTGCAAAAACGAGCAATAAGGATAGTATATAATGTGGGATATAGGGAACACACAACAACCCTATTTTTAAAATTACAAGTTTTAAAATTTATTGATCTGATAAAGTTTAAAACCGCAGTAATTATGCTTAAGGAAAGAAATAAATTACTTCCATGTAACATACAGAAAACGTTTAATGATAAAGACGATGGGTACAATTTAAGAGGGGCATTAAACTTCAAAAAACAGAGAGTTCAGACTCATGTTTTTTTACTGAGCTCTGTTATGGCTTATTATTAACCCTGTGTATGTGTGTGTGTGTGTCACACAGTGGAATGTGTGTTTTTCTGTTGCTTTAAATTCTTTTATTAATTGTTGGAATTTCTTAACAGTTTTGTGTTATTGCATGATTTTGTCGTGTGTTGTTGGTTTTATGTGCCTGTTTAGTTTAGATTGTTTGCCACTGTTGACATGACAGTCACCTGAAGAGGTGGGCGTGACTGGGAGAGCGCACCAGGTGCGCATACCCTACTAACACAGGTCCGTTGCAACAACGTAGTCGCAACGTATTTTCTGACACCTTGTGATGTTGCAGGAACGTCGCATGTTACGTAGTAGCGACTTCCAAAGTGAAATTCCGCTACGACGTTGTCAGAACGTCACATAGGACGTTGCTGGAACGTTGTCGCGACATATCCACAACTTTACTGCAATGTTGTGACAACATCGCTATTATAACGTTGTGACAACGTACCAACTAAATGTTTGTGGCACGTTGCAGAGACGTTTTCAGGTTAACCTTTTTTTTCACCTTTATTAATTATTTACCACAGAAAATTATAGTGCAAAACTAATGGCAGATTAACAGCAAAAACAACCAGAATGGAAAAACAAATGTATAAAAACCTTAAAAACAAGTAATATAGGACAGCGGTGTCATGATTTCATTTAAAAGCTCTACTGCATATGTTTAGTATGCATATGTTTTCGTTTCGGAACCACTGGAGGAGATAATGCAAAGGATTCTCCAGAGAATCAAGAAAATTATGGACAACCCTGAGCATTCTCTTCACAAGACTTGAGGATCCTTCCTGCCAACAGCCATTGTAATATACAACAACTCTGATGACTTGATTATTATTATTATTCTGAGCTACTACAGCAATCAATTTCCCTCTGGGATTAATAAAGTATTTTTGAATTGAATGGAATAGTAGTCAGCAGGATCAGATGTAATTTCACAGGATGGACAATAAACTGACTTTTCAGCTTTTTATTACATAAAGATTTGACACTTGCATACACAATTTAAACAAAACATTTTTATAGCGCCTCTCAAAATAAAAACCACAAGGCGCTTTAAAAAAAATGATCAAAAAAAAATATATAAAAATAGAAAAATCTAAAATTGTGAACAAAACTGAGAAAAATAAAACAGAAAGGGTGCAGGTTCACTTAGTCCTCCTCAGAAGAATGGGCCTCCATTTGTGTGGCACGATGCTGTGCTTCAGCCTGAAGGAAAAAAAAGGAGGTATACATTAGTGAGCAATTAACACATTGTGGCGCCGAGGCACTTGTCAGAATGACCCTCATGCGCTCCGGAGGAAAGTAATACTGAGGAGGCCGTTGTCCAGTGCAGACCCAAGTGTACTTTATTTACAATTAACAAAATTAAAATCCAGGCAGCACAAATCCATGCCTGCCGCTCCATCCAACACTCAACTCCCTCCAACAAACACAGAGCTGTATTTATAAACAGGTGTGCCTAATTGTATTAATCCTAAAACTCAGACACAGGTAAATACAAAAATACAATCTTTCAATACTCTTAAATTATACTTAAATCATCATCTCTAAGATCTCATTAAATAATTACAATACAAAAATAGAAACATCCTTAATCAATCCTAAAAATATTCAGTGAAACTAATCTGCATTCCTGGAGCAATTTCACAGGTCACCCCTCCCATTCCTACTGAATGGAATGCTCCAGAACCTTCTTTAGGTGCTCCAGCTCCCCGGGGACTCTTTTAGCTGGAACACTTGCAGAAGCACAAGGGAAACAGGTAAGTACAAACATTCATTTATTTACCACTTTAAATCTTCTATATTCATACTAACTCTTCTTACAGGTCCAAACGTTTCCCCCTTTCAAATAAACATTAAAACAATCATTGAGTCTGGTTTCATTTATCCTTCAATCACAGAAAACCTGTGTAATGGACTTGCTACATTACATTCCTCCCCTCCTCCTTTAAGGGTGTAATACCTTCTAATCCTCATACATCCGTGAGAGAGAGTCAGCCACCGTGTTGGACTTCCCTGCCCGATAGCAGACAGTGAAGTCATATGGCTGCAGAGCCAAGTACCAACCAGCTAGTCTTGTGTTGGCGTCCTTCATTTTGTGAAGCCATTGCAGAGCACGATGATCAGTCTCCAAGCTGAAATGACGTCCCAACAGGTAGTATCTCAGCGACTTGACCGTCCATTTCATTGCCAAGCACTCCTTCTCTACAGTTGAATATCTAGTTTCTCGGTCCAGCAATTTCCTACTCAGGAAGGCAACAGGTCTCCTCTCTCCATCCACTTCCTGCAACAAAACTCCACCCAAACCTACACCAGACGCATCAGTCTGCAGAATAAAAGGTTTATCAAAATCAGGAGTCTGGAGTACTGTATGTTCATTTATTGCCTCCTTAAGATCCGTGAATGCATGGTCACATTCAGCTGTCCAAATTACCTTCCTTGGCGCCGCCACTTTAGTCAGGTCATGCAGCACGGCCGATCGATCTGCAAAGTGAGGGATGAACTTCCTATACCATCCCACCAACCCAAGAAAACTTCTCACTTTCTTCTTTGTGGTTGGGATCGGGAAGGAACGGATTGCCTCCATCTTCCCCACTTGAGGTCTCAGTTTCCCATGACCTATGACAAATCCAAGGTACTCCACCTGTTTTTGAGCCAAACAGCATTTCTGCGGGTTGATTGTCAATCCAGCTGCCTTTATACACCGCAGAACTTCCTTCAGATGACAGATGTGCTCTTCCCAGCTTCTGCTGTATATCACCACATCATCTAGATATGCAGCGGCATAGTCTGAAACCTCCCTCAGAACATCGTCCATTAACCTCTGAAAGGTGGCTGGTGCTCCTTGGAGTCCAAATGGCATCACACAAAACTGGTACAAACCAAATGGCGTTCTGAAAGCTGTCAGCTCACGAGCCTCAGGAACCAGAGCAACTTGCCAATAACCCTTACTCAGGTCTAAGGTGGAGATGTACTCAGCTTGTCCCACTCGTTCCACCAGCTCGTCGATCCTGGGCATAGGATACAGATCACACATTGAAACTGCATTCAGGTAACGAAAATCAATGCAAAATCGCAGTGAGCCATCTTTCTTCGGTACCAGCACCACTGGACTGCACCATTCACTCCTGGACGTCTCAATAATACCCAATTCCAACATCACATGGATTTCCTTCTTCAGGCTCGCCACCAGCCTCTCTGGAACCCTGTAGCTCTTTCGGCGCGGAGCTGCTTCCTCCTTCAACCGAATGTTGTGTTGCACCACGTCAGTGTATCCAGGGGTGTCTTTAAACAGTTCTGGGTCGATGAGCAGAGCCACCTCTTCCTGTTGAGCCACAGAAAGGTGTGATATGTCCATGACAGATGACTCACCCAGTTGTCCTGGTATGAACTTCTCTGGTGTCTCTTCATCCCCCACGGCACGAATCAGCAGCTGCGAAGCCACGTCCTGACGAGACTGAAATTCTTTCAACAAGTTCACATGGAAGGTCTGATACTTTTTAGTTCTGTCAGGCATGAACAGTTCATAGGTGAGCTTACCCACTTTCCTGGTGATTTCATAAGGACCAAACCATTTAGCAAGGAGTTTGTTTTCAGAAGTGGGAAGGAGTAGGAGTACCTGTTGGCCTGGTGTGAAACTTCTCTCCCTAGCCTTGCAGTCGTACCACCTCTTTTGGTTCTGCTGGGCCGTCCTCAAGGACTCCTGTGCCAGCGCCGTCATTTCCTCCAAGCGTTGCCTCATCTTCACCACATAGGCCACCACGTTGTCTCCCATAGATGTTGGATTTTCCCAGTAGTCCTTAAGCAGGTCCAAGGGCCCTCTGACTTTGTGACCACAGAGCAGCTCAAATGGGGAAAATCCTGTTGAAGCTTGTGGCACCTCCCGGTATGCAAACAGCAGGTACGGCAACCACTGGTCCCAGTCCTTTCCTGTCTGAGAAACAAACTTCCGCAGCATACTTTTCAAAGTTTGGTTATACCGTTCCACTAGCCCGTCCGTTTGGGGGTGGTACGGGGTGGTCCTAATCCCCTTAACCCCTAGGAGCTTATACACCTGCTGCAATAACTTTGACATAAAGTTTGTCCCACAGTCAGTCAAAATTTCTCTAGGAATCCCCATTCTAGAGAATAATTGCACCAAACAGTAAGCAACATTCTTAGCCTTCACTGTTTTTAGAGGGAAGGCCTCTGGGTATCGAGTTCCATAGTCACAAAGAACTAATATGAATCTATACCCTGTACTACTACGCTCTAAGGGCCCCACTATGTCCATACCAAGTCTCTCAAATGGTGCTTCCATGATGGGTAGAGGCTGCAACATTGCCCGAGGCACTCTGCGTGAGGAGGTAAGTTGACAAATTTCACATGAACTGCAAAATTTTGAGATGTCATTGTACATGCCTGGCCAAACAAACCTGCTGGCAATCCTACACAAGGTCTTCTGGAAAGCCATGTGGCCAGCCCAAGGAACAGAATGTCCCAGCTCCATTACCTTGGATCTGAACTGCTTAGGCAAAGCCAAAGCTTCTACTGTCCCCTTACTCTGGTACAATATGCCGTTCTTAATGACATATGTTGCATCCTCCAAACATCCCAAGCTACCTTGCTTTACTCCCTCAACCTCTATCACCTTGTTTAACCAGGGTTTCAGCGTAACATCCTCTTTCTGTAGCTTAGCTACATCAGAAGGGAGATTTAACTCAACTGGCTGAAGAGAAATGTTTAAACTTTCCATCTGTTTACCACCATTTCTGCTCAGTTTCTCTCTTCTTCTTTGTGTTTTTGATTTCCTAGGTTTGCCTTTCCCAGGTTCAAGATCTTCCCCCCAGAATGGCAATTCCTTTAAGGTCTCACTAGCACTCTGAGATCTTGTCACAACCATGTTAAACCCTGTAGGTGGATTAGCTACACTCAGTGAGACTGCAGCCAAATGTTTAGATGGATCTAGCTCTACTGATGATTTTTCTGCCTCTTGCACTAAATCTAGCAGGATTGGTACATCATTACCCAAAATCACCTCAAATGGCAAGCTTGAAGCTAAAGCCATTGGCAGCAAAAAGGTCTGGCCACCAGCCGTTAAATACACATCTGCCATAGCATACTGATGTCTGTCACCATGAACACAGCTAATACTGATTTTATCCTCCCTCCATTTTTCTCTGGATATTAGGTCAGCAGAAACCATGGACTGAAATCCACCTGTATCTAATAATGCCATAACCCGATGACCATTAATTAGTACTGGTGTGGTAAGTGCTTTCTGGGTAGTTACTACAGAATTTGGCAACCCAGGTCTAGGTACTGCACAGTAAAGGGAAGGTTTTGACTTATTGGTTAGAGGACAAGAATATTGGGTGTGGCCTAACTCATTACACACATAACATCTAACCTCTTTACTGGACCTTTGAAAACTGTTAGCAGGATTTGGCTTATGGTACTTATTAGCTGTAAACTGCCTTGGTTTAGACCCTGCCCTATGTGGACCAAAACCCCTTTCACCCCCATCGGACTTACTCTGGGCTTGGTCTCTGGGTCCATTTTCTCTGTCCCTCTCCCTCTGGAACCGTGTAGAACCTTGTCCAAGGATCGTCCGACCGGATCCTTTCCTTGCAGCCAGAAAAACCTCCGCCAGTTCCGCTGCTCTTACCGCTGTCTTGGGATCTCGCTCACGGATCCATACTTCTAGGTCTGGATGAACCATTCTCAGGAACTGCTCCAAAATCAGAGTCTCTGAGATCTGCTGTTTTGAAGATTCGTCAGGTTTTACCCACTTTGAGAACAGATCCTTCAGCCTCACATACAGCTCTTTAGGAGTTTCGTCTGGAACCATCTGTGTAGACCGAAATCTTTGACGGTAGGTTTCTGAAGTGATTTCATATTTTTCCAGGATAGCTGTTTTTACTTTATCATAATCTTCAGTGTCAGAAATGTCCATGAGCACATATGCACTTCGTGCCTTACCAGTCAGCAGAGCTACCAGACGGAGAGCCCATTCCCCTCTTGGCCACCTACAGACTTGAGCCATCCTTTCAAAAGTAGTCAGAAAATGTTCAATATCATCCTCTGGTGATAACGGCAACAACTTTGGCTCTCTGTGGAAGATTGACTCTCTGTGATGTCTGTCCTGGTCAGCATTACTGGTTCTTTCCTCATTCTCTTGCTGGTCAGCAGGGGGGGCAGAAACTTCTTCTTGATCAGGAGGTTGTTGGATAACTTGATGCACCAAAGACTGGATTTCGCTGAATTGGTGCTGCATGTCCTTCCATCTCCAGTCTTGTCTTGCTGCTTCCTTTTCCAGATACTGCTCTGTAGTTGTTTGAGACTTTGCAAGAACCCTCACCAGCTCTGCCAATTCCTCCAACTTCTCCTCAGTGGTGCCCCTTCTTGCAGCTCCCTGATCAGCAGATGCACTTGAGTCCACCTCAGGCTCTTCACATTGCACTGGCTGTGCTTTCCTTGTTTGCATCTTTGTGGTCATCCTCAGCACTTCACGCAGGCAAAACTTCTGACACCAATTGTGGCGCCGAGGCACTTGTCAGAATGACCCTCATGCGCTCCGGAGGAAAGTAATACTGAGGAGGCCGTTGTCCAGTGCAGACCCAAGTGTACTTTATTTACAATTAACAAAATTAAAATCCAGGCAGCACAAATCCATGCCTGCCGCTCCATCCAACACTCAACTCCCTCCAACAAACACAGAGCTGTATTTATAAACAGGTGTGCCTAATTGTATTAATCCTAAAACTCAGACACAGGTAAATACAAAAATACAATCTTTCAATACTCTTAAATTATACTTAAATCATCATCTCTAAGATCTCATTAAATAATTACAATACAAAAATAGAAACATCCTTAATCAATCCTAAAAATATTCAGTGAAACTAATCTGCATTCCTGGAGCAATTTCACAGGTCACCCCTCCCATTCCTACTGAATGGAATGCTCCAGAACCTTCTTTAGGTGCTCCAGCTCCCCGGGGACTCTTTTAGCTGGAACACTTGCAGAAGCACAAGGGAAACAGGTAAGTACAAACATTCATTTATTTACCACTTTAAATCTTCTATATTCATACTAACTCTTCTTACAGGTCCAAACGTTTCCCCCTTTCAAATAAACATTAAAACAATCATTGAGTCTGGTTTCATTTATCCTTCAATCACAGAAAACCTGTGTAATGGACTTGCTACATTACACACATAAATGTCTCCAACAAGCTTTCAGTCATAAATCAATTACCTCTCTTCTGACTTTCTGGGGAGCATGCGTAAGGACTTCCATTATTTGCACCTCTATGTCCTTATCTGTGGAGTCTGGAAGCGAGGTCTTCACAGCACCTGGGAACAGACAGGTGATATACAAGAAACCTTAAGATTACTGAAACAGTTTTACAGTTGTGACAGACAGCTGTAAAAAGATTTAATGAAATTCTATAAAACAAGTCCAGTAAAAAGCATCAACTCACGTTTGATCAGCCTGAATATTTTAAGGTTACACAGCTTGGCTTTCTGCTTCTTCCCATGCAGGCTGTATCCACACCAAACAGCATTGCTGGCGACAGCCAGCATGGTCCGTCTGGTATTTTCTCCCAGCTTCCGTCCTCCAATGAGGCTTAGAAAACGGACCTTATAAATTGTACAAAGTTGATCAAATAAAATATCATATTTCATTAAAACCATTTTCTGAATGTCTACAATTGTTTACTTACAGCTTGCTGGAAATATGCCTTGTCCTGCAAGTTATTGTCAAGCAAGGTAAAGTCCTCCGCATCTTTACAAGGCTCCAGGCGCAGATCATCTTGAGTTTGGCTCTCAGAATGCCGAGAAGCCACATTATGGAACAGCTTCTCCATGGTGTGCATTTTCCCCTCCATCATGTTCACTTTTATCAGCAGTGACTTGCAGATATCTTGGACAAAAGAAGAATCATAAATTACAACACAAATAATAGATTTAACTTATAAGTGGACCTTTTAAAAAGGGGAAACTCAATCTCACCTGTGATTGCAGCATTATTCCTTAAAGCATCAGCGATGCCTGCTGCTTGATCTGAAATGATAAAATGATAAGTTCTCAAAAAAAAAATCTACCAAAACATTTTAATACACCACTCTAGGTTTTGGTAGAGGTATTTTAAGTTACTTGCCTTCAGTGGCTTTTTGCCTTGGGGTGACCCTTTGCCTTGGTGTACTTGTGGCCATTAAATCTATGAGTTGACAAAACACATTTTAATAGTAGTAGTGCAAAGTTTTAAAAGGCAAATATACAAATCAGTAGACATTTTAGTTACAGCAGAAGATAAAATGTGTACCTTCACCGTTGAGGGACTCAGCTGGCAGTGTTGTCCTCTTCGAAACAGGAACTGAAGGGGGCAAAACATATCAAAACTAAATTAAACAAATAAATTTGACAGCAGTCTAAAGAAGCTGGTGGGCAGTCTAGAGGACAAATTGAAGTATGGCCTGAATAAATTAAATAAACATAAAGGAAAATATACACACCATCTCTGCTGGATGGTTCTATCAGCAACAGCGTTCTCTCTGCCATGGGAACTGCAAAAAATGAAAAAAAAAAAAAAAAAACAGAAAAAAAAACGACAACATTATTGGGCTAGAAAATTACTATGGAGCTCTGCACCCCACAAAATAAAATTAGATTTAGTTAAAAACACAAGTTCTAGCAGTAGAACATCGGCTCAAAACTAACCTCTCGTTCTCTCAGTAGAGCATGGACCTGAAAGCAAACAGATATGTTTTTTTTTTGTTGCTATTTTATATTATTAAAAAGAATATACAACATGTTTATGACAGAAACATTACCTGCTTCATCATCAGAGCAGGACAGGTACCGCTTATTGTTCTTAACCTTTCGTTTGGTCACCTCTCTCTCTCACTCTCGGCTTGGGAATCTTCCAGCTACTGCCTGGCAAGACACTTGGCTTCTTCATATTCCTCTTAATAAGCATAACAGTCAAGTTCATATGAAAAGATTCGAAGGAAACCATTTAAATGTGATGGCCAAGTAGTAGTTGCAGTACCTGTTTGGCGCTGAAATAGCCTTACTCTATGTTGAGTCCAATCAGGAGATGGATGTTCCACATTTAGGTTCCTGAATGTGGTTTTGTTTGCTGTCCAGTAACAATAATGCACCTAAGATTTTGGAAAAGAGATTAGTTTCCAACCAAGTTTACACAGACACATAGCCACAGGAATTTCTGCATAAACTGCATGTTCAAAAAACAACAAACTCACCCATTGTTTATGAAAATTTAGCTTTTGACTACACATCTCAAACTAAAGCAATACTTTGTGTTACAATGTTTAATACTAGCTAACTAAACAATTTGATTCTTTATTCTTTTGCTAGTTTGGAAGACTGGGTTGCCCAAGTCCAGTCCTTGGGATATTTTAGATACATCCTTGCTCAAATGGCTAAAAGTCCATCACGCCCCCTGCCCCAAACACAAATTTCTAACGCTCCATTCATGTTTAGCTAAACATGGCCGTCTCTCTACACAAGATCTCAATAAAGTCGACAGACACAGTGAAAAGGCTTGCTTAAACACCAATAAACATTACCTAATTATTAAAAACCACTGAGCCGCAAAACGTTTAGGGCAGAACATTAGCCCAGAGGTTTACTGATCGAGCAGACATGTGAGAACACGTGTAATGACCGCTTGACCGCTTAGCAATGGGGCTACCTAGTGGCTAACGGTAGCTGGACTGCTAACTCTACAAATACACTGGTTGTAGTTATATCAATAGAATAGTTACAGAGTCATCTTGCTTAAAATTAGATTGATATTATTCTAATTCAAGCGAAAAGTCCAGTTAGTTTGTTTGATTTTACTTGAACAGACCGAATAAACTACAGTAGGTAAGCTACCATGCGGTAGCTATTGTTTGAGGGCAGATATATGCTATTGCCTTTTGTAAACCAAATTTAGAACTAACAAGCACATGATAAAACTTTTTCTTACCTGAAGCAAGCGAACTAAGGAGTGAGTGGTTGACAAATAAATCCGAAGTAGCCAAATAGCAAAGAGCAACTAACTGGAAATCTTGTGGAATTAAAGAAGGGATGAAATAAGAACAAAAAAAGAGGCAGAGTAAGCTGATTGGAAGATGGTGTGGAACATGTGATGACCATAACAAATCAGATAACTGGCTGGAACAGGGTTGTTGCAACAAGCCATTCCATTGGAATGCTGTGAGGCAAGTAACATGTAAATTAGCCTACATTTCCTTGCTGGTGGATTTTAGAAAGTAACATTTGTAAACAGCAAAAATGAGTTTTTCAGTAAACAAAGTTTAGAATTTTTTTTTTCATAAAATATAAAGTCCAACTTTTTTAAATTAGAAAGACATTTTAGCTATAAACATGATTCAAGTACTGCAACTACTAATTGTTTATTTAATTATTGTCAAAACTCTAATAATAATAAAAAACAATTAAAATACCCAAAGATTAAATATCTTTGTGTGTTATTTTTCATGGATAAGCTGAAAATCTAATTTGATGATAAAATCTCTCAAATTTTATTTATTCTGGAACTACAGTTATCACGTTGTAACAACGTAGCAGCAACGTTGTTATTCAAAGTGCCGAATAAGTTACAGAGAGGACATTTAACAGAGGTTGTAAAGCGACTTTTGGAGGACGTTGTAGTGTGACGTTTCAGCAATGTAACAACAACGTCCCCTGTGGAACGTAGTAACCTAAACGTAGCAGCTACGTTGTCACTACGTCACAAACGAAACGTCGCAAAATGCGACGTTGTGGCGACTTTCTGTGTTAGTAGGGTAGTTAGCAGGCTGATAAAGGGACGAAGCTGCAGAATTGCAGGAGGAGAGAGGAAAAAGAGACCAAAGAAACCAGAAGGCAGAGGGACTGGACTAATAGGTGGACGTAGCACAGAACGCGTTGGATCGCAGGAGGATCAGTTCATCCATGGCGTGCAGCAACAACGAGTGGGAGCAACGCCTTTGAATGACAGCAGGGCAGAGGTTGGACCTCTGCCTGCATCCGTGAGTAAACTGCTTCCTCTGTTGTATGCTGGGTGACGCGCCGTATGGGCCGATCCGACGAGAAAGAGTTTGCACTGCGCCAGTACAGACAAAAGTTCTGCCCCAGTGTTCTGTCCTTGTCAGGGAGGAGCGGCGAGAGCCCCCGGGAGAGCACGCCTGAGATGAGTGCCTGCTGAGAGCGAGACCAGAGACTGCTGGAGTCGGACGCTGAAGCCGGGACGCCGCCTTTCCCATCCTGTTCGTGACGTTGTGGATCTGGGAGGAGCCCAACTATCTTTTGGGATCTTTTTGAAGAACGTTTTAAATTGCTTTTATGGACTCAAACTTTTTAGTTGTATATTTTTATACGGGGGCTTTTATTTATGTAACCCGGGTTAAAGGATGCATAAATAGTAAAAGATAAGTAAAGTCTAAGAATATAAATATCAAAGAGTAAAATTCATTTGTTCAATTTTCTTGTATATTAAAAAGATCAAAGTTCATGTCAAATGGGTAAAAACATGTTTGCATTGTTTAAAATAAGTTATCTTTCTTTTAGTGTGAATTGCTTGTGAGAACTGTAATTTCCTACGGGGATATGGTCTGTGAAGGTAACACAGCGTGGGGAAGAAGAGAGAAAAGAGGGAAGAGAGGGAGAGAGCGCGAGAAGAGATGGTGGTGAGTGAGTTACACGGAGTATCCCGAGCAGTTAGCTTGTTTTTATGTACTAGTAATAAGTGTGTTTTGACTTTTTGAAAAGATAAGTCACAGTGTCGGTAAGCTAGTGACATAACATGTAAAGTTTCAGCGTGAGTCTGCTGGACTGTGTGTTTTGTTTACTGCGTCCGGGCCGCATTGAGTTAAAGTGAGGCTAACACAGCCATTAGCTAACAAGGACTACTGTAGACTGCCGTTTCGCTAAAGTTGTGGAACTTAAACAAGCTGCAGAGGATCGTTACCGGACTGGATAGCGACAGACAGACCCCAGATAGTCACTCTGAGTGCCCGCGTCACTCTGAGTACCTCTGGCAACGTGGGAAGCTAAAAACAAGTAGCTGGAGCACGTGGAGATCACGGACCTTCCTCATCTTTGGCTACTGCGTTCAGAGCGGAGTGCTTTTGAAGGAGCTGAAGACAACCTGTTGCCTGGATTAATCTGGTGGGAATTGCACGTTTCACAAGGTACTGAGTTTATTTATTTATTTTTGCTCGTTGAGTGAAGAACTTCCGGTTTGGAGATCGTTTGGATTTATACTGGAGCAAGACAGGCCTGCAACGTAGGGTTTATCTCTGCCGGCTTTAAGTTTAGTTTGGGACTATAATTGTTTTATCACTGGTGGTTTATACTGTGTATGTGGGGATTCTGGGTACACTGGGTAAATTGCTGTGGGTGTTTTGCTTTGCCTGAATACTGAAACCTGCCATTTTATTATTTTATTGTTTTCATTGTTTGGTAAATTAAAGGAGGGTTACATTGCTCTACTTTACATGGTGTATGATATGATTTACTGCACTGTAGACACTAGTGTTCATTTTCGCGTGTAGTGCCACTGTTAAGGAATAAGCTTCATTGATCCCAGACACAAAAGAGAAGTTAATTTAAGAATATCGTACGAGAGTACACTAGAAAAAAGAACCCAAAGCCCATTTATTTAATGGTATTGAGTAAATGAGGGCTACATAAAATGGAGGCACCGCTGGGATTTTTTGGGTCTCATAGAAGCATTAAAGGGGCAACACGCTAAAAAAATTTTTTTTTAAAGTTAACCTACAGTAGCTAGTTTATATTTCTTAGTATTTTTGTTTATTGAGAGTATGGCGGACCACACCGGGCTTGCTGCAGAGCTGAAGAGGTGGTGTCGGGGTGAAGGTTTGGAGGAAGCTAAAGCACTCTTGGTTCTGGTTCCAGAAGAAGTAGCCCAGATAGAAGAAACCATGGAGACTATTAAGTGTCTAGGGCGAGTCCGGGTTAGAGGGCGCTTGTTCCACACCCCCTTGAGCTGCCTAATGGTTCTCTGCGAGTGCAAACAAAGTATACCTAAGGATAATGTGCCCAAGGAAGTGCTGGACCCGCACACTGGTGAAAAATGGCCGATAGTGACTCTTAATGAATGTGCCGCTCCTGACGATTTTGCTGTGAAGTTGAAGAGTCTCTTAGACACTGAGGGTAGAACTATTGAAGACCTACAAAGATTATTTATCAGCCCTGCTCCTCCGCAGCCCAGCTATGATCCTTCCATAAACTCCACGGAGTCTGTCTTGCAAGCAGTTGGTGATTTTTTGGAGAAGGCACGTAAACCACAAGCAGAAGGTGGTTATCAGCGTTTGAGGCTGTTTTCAGGGAACTTGCCAGTTCCCCTTAGTGAGGACCCCTTTGACCATTGGCTTGAGCAGGCATGGCTCATGGTGGAGGAAAGTGACTGTACAGACAAGGAGAGAAGGCGCAGGCTGATGGAGAGTTTAAAGGGGCCGGCGTTGGAGATTGCCAAATCAGTCCGTGAGTCAGACCCTGAGGCAGGCCCTGTTGAATACCTGGAGGCTTTGGAAAGCGCATTTGGCAGTGCTGAGTCTGGAGATGATCTCTATTTTGCTTTCCGCTTAATGCAGCAACAACCAAGTGAAAAACTGTCTGATTTTCTGAGGCGTCTGGAAAGGGCCCTCACTAAAGTTGTCCAGAGAGGAGGATTTCAAGGTTCTAGCAAAGACAAAGCGCGCCTGGAACAACTTCTGAGAGGGGCTGTCGCTTCCGATCTCATGCTAATTAATCTGCGCCTGAGAGAGAGAAAGTCCAAACCCCCAACTTTCCTCCAACTCTTAAGTGAGATTCGCACAGAGGAAGAGTATGAGGCATCAAGGAGAAAGCTAAATACCTCAGTCCAGCAGGTACAGACAAAACCATCAGGGACTGGCAATACAGAAATACAGAGTCTCAAAGCTGAAGTTAAAGAGCTTAAGGCCAAGTTAGCCACCTGCATGACTAAGGCCCCTGATGTCATAGATAAAGATGTGTCCTCAGTGCAGTCAAGTGAGCACAGTGACACCAAAGAACTGGCTGCTTTGAAGAAACAAGTGAAAAGACTGCAGCAGAAAGTAGCCCAAAGAGATACTGCTCCAGACTCCTCTTTAAAACTGGCTACCGTGGCAGCAGTAGAGGCTAACTCAAAGACAAGGACCCCTTATCAGAACAGAACACCTTTGGGTGAGCAGTTCTGTTACCGTTGTGGGGAAAATGGACATTTTGTTGCAAAGTGTCAAAATCCTGAAAATCAGAGCAAAGTTATACGAAAGCTCATCCAGACTGTCAAGACACTGAAAGAAAGTGCAGCTACTTCAACGCGTAATGCCACTGACACTGACTGCCATGTCAAGCAGGGTCTTCTGACTTCTCCCACCCCAGCTGGAATTCCAGAAGGACTGATTGGGCCCCCAAGTATTGTGCCACTTAAAGTGAATGGACAGCCCTGTGATGCCTTATTTGACAGTGGATCACAGGTCACTATAATATTTGAGTCCTGGTACAAAGCTCATCTGCCTTCCATCCCAGTGCATCCGGTCACTGGTCTCAACATTTGGGGTTTAAGTGAGTCCAATGTCAGTTACCCCTACCTTGGCTATGTTGTGGTAGATGTTGAGTACCCGGCTGAGGTGACTGGCACCAAACACACAGTACCAGTCCTTGCCCTGATCTGTCCAAGCCCAAAAGAAGAGCAGATTCCTGTCATTGTTGGCACTAACACCAGCCATGTCCGCAAGTTGGTACAGGAATGCAGAAAAGCGGGGCATGACATAACCAAAAGCCTGGGCATACAAATTCATAGGGAGTCGCTACCCACATTCACAGACTCCATCACCCTAGGCTCTCAAGATGACCAGGTTGGCTGTGTGACTTGGCAAGGTTCAAATCCCTTGTCCTTACCCCCCGGAAAAGACTTGCAAATAACCTGCAAAGTTCGTTTTCAACAGACAGTTGGCAAAGAGATCTTGATGTTTGACTCTTCTCCCTTAGCCCGTCTGCCGGGTGATGTCCTGCTACAACCCATGGTTGTGCCCGCCCATGCGGTACAAGTTAACAGCTTCAGGATCCTGGTGCAGAACCATTCAGCCAGGGAAACCACTATCCCTGTTGGAACCGTCATGGGTCACCTTTATCGCACCGAAAGAGTCATCTCCATGCCAAGCAAAGAACCAGAGATGATAGCCTTTGACAGCAGCCAGATCGACTT